ATACAACATTCCAAAACTCAATCAGGAAGAATCTAAAAATCTCAACAGGCCAATAACTATGGAAGAAATTGAAGCAGTTATCAAAAAGCTTCCAGCAAACAAAAGCCCAGGACCAGACGGCTTCACAGGGGAGTTTTACCAAACATTCAAGGAAGAACTAAAACCTATCCTCCTCAGACTACTACAAAAAATTCAAAAGGAAGGAACACTTCCAAGCTCATTCTATGAAGCCAGCATCACCCTAATACCAAAACCAGGTAAAGACAACACAATGAAAGAGAATTACAGGCCAATATCCCTCATGAACATAGATGCCAAAATCCTCAACAAAATCTTAGCAAATCGGATCCAGTAGTACATCAGAAAGATCATACACTATGACCAAGTAGGATTCATCCCAAGGATGCAAGGGTGGTACAATATCCGCAAATCAATAAACGTGATACATCACATAAACAAATTGAAAGAAAAAAACCACATGGTCATATCAATTGATGCAGAAAAAGCATTTGACAAAATTCAACACCCATTTTTGATAAAAGCTCTCAGCACGGTGGGAGTAGAAGGATCATACCTCAACATAATAAAAGCCATATATGACAGGCCCACAGCCAACATCATACTCAATGGACAAAAACTAACACCATTTCCCCTAAGAACAGGAACAAGACAGGGATGCCCCCTCTCACCACTCCTGTTTAACATAGTACTGGAATTGTTAGCCATTGCAATTTGGCAAGAAGAAGAAATAAAAGGCATCCAACTTGGAAAAGAGGAAGTAAAACTGTCCTTATTTGCAGACGACATGATATTATACATACAAAACCCTAGAGACTCCATCAAAAAGCTACTGGACTTAATACATGAATTTGGCAATGTAGCAGGATACAAAATTAACCCCAAGAAATCCGAGGCATTTCTATACACCAATAGTGAACTTTCAGAAAGAGAGATTATAAAAACAATCCCGTTTACCATCGCACCAAAAAAATTAAGCTACCTAGGAATAAACTTAACTAAAGAGGTAAAAGACCTCTACTCAGAAAACTACAGGACGTTGAAAAAAGATATAGAGGAAGACATAAACAGATGGAAGAACATACCGTGTTCATGGATTGGTAGAATCAACATCATTAAAATGTCCATACTACCCAAAGCAATCTATAAATTCAACGCACTTCCCATTAAAATACCAACGGCATACTTCAGAGATCTAGAACGAACTCTCCAAAAATTCATCTGGAATAAAAAAAGACCCCGAATAGCTGCAGCAATCCTGAAAAAGACCAAAGTAGGTGGGATCTCAATACCAGATATCAAGTTGTATTACAAAGCCACTGTTCTCAAAACTGCCTGGTACTGGCACAAGAATAGGCATATAGATCAATGGAATAGAATAGAGAGCCCAGAAATCGGCCCGAACCAATATGCTCAATTAATATTTGACAAAGGAGGCAAGAACATACAATGGAGCCAAGATGGTCTCTTCAATAAATGGTGTTGGGAAAATTGGACAGATATATGCAATAAAATGAAACTAGACCACCAACTTACACCATACACAAAAATAAACTCAAAATGGATAAAGGATTTAAATGTACGACAGGAAACCATAAAAATTCTAGAAGAATCCAAAGGCAACAAAATCTCAGACATATGCCGAAGCAATTTCTTCACTGATACAGCTCCTAGGGCACTTGAAACGAAAGAGAAAATGAACAAATGGGTCTACATCAAAATAAAAAGCTTCTGCACAGCAAAAGAAACCATCAACAAAACAACGAGAAAACCCACTGTGTGGGAAAACATATTTGCCAATGTCATATCTGATAAGGGCCTAATCTCCAAAATTTATAGGGAACTCATACAACTTAACAAAAGGAAGATAAACAATCCAATCAAAAAATGGGCAGAGGACCTAAATAGACACCTTTCAAAAGAGGACATTCAGAAAGCCAAGAGACATATGAAAACATGCTCAAAGTCACTAATCATCAGAGAGATGCAAATCAAAACAACAATGAGGTACCATCCCACACCTGTCTGACTGGCTATCATCAACAAATCAACAAACAACAAGTGCTGGAGAGGATGTGGAGAAAAAGGAACACTTGTGCACTGCTGGTGGGAATGCAGACTGGTGCAGCCACTATGGAAGACAGTATGGAGTTTCCTTAAAAAACTGAAAATGGAACTCCCATTTGACCCTGTGATCCCACTTCTAGGAATATATCCCAAGAAACCAGAAACACCAATCAGAAAGGATATATGCACCCCTATGTTCATAGCAGCACAATTCACCATAGCTAAGATCTGGAAACAGCCTAAGTGCCCATCAGTAGATGAATGGATTAGAAAACTGTGGTACATCTACACGATGGAATACTATGCTGCTCTAAAAAGGAAGGAACTCTTACCATTTGCAACGGCATGGATGGAACTGGAGAGCATTATGCTAAGTGAAATAAGCCAGTCAATGAACGAAAAATACCACATGATCTCACTCATTCATGGATAATAGAGACCATTATAAACTTTTGAACAATAATAGATACAGAGGCAGAGCTGCCTCAAACAGATTGTCAAACTGCAGCAGGAAGGCCGGGGAGGGTTGGGGGGCAGGAGGTAGGGGGGTAAGAGATCAACTAAAGGACTTGTATGCATGCATATAAGCATAACCAGTGGACATAAGACATTGGGGGATAGGGGAGGCTAGGGGACTGTCTAGGGCGGGGGGATAAAATGGACACATATGTAATACCCTTTGTAATACTTTAAGCAATAAAAAATAAATAAATAAATAAATAAATAAATAAATAAATAAATAAAAGAAAAGAAAAGAACCTAGTCTGGCCAGTGTTGTTCAGTGGTTGAGCATTATCCCATGCACCAAGAGTTCACAGGTTCAATTCCCAGTCAGGGCACACGCCCTGGTTGTGGGTTCAATCCCCGGCATGGGGGGTATGTAGTTGAAATTTATCTCTAACATTGATGTTTTTCTCTCTCTCCCTCTTCCTTCCTCTCTCTCTAAATTCAGTAAATGCATTAACAAAAAAGTAACCTGAATAGGCTGCATATTGAGTCACTTCAGACTTTTTCTAACAAATGCCAATGGGATATGGCACCCTCTAGTGCACACTTAGAGAACTGATGTCGAGTGAATTTGTAATGTGGGCTGTTTCTCTGGTGCCCTGAGGACTGCCTGCCACTTTTATATTAGAACTGTAGGTCCAGTGCACTAATTCGTGCATGGGTGGGGTCCCTCGGCCTGGCTGGCAATCAGGGCCAATCAGAGCATGGGAGGTTGGTGGGGGGCAGGGCGGGGGCAGGCGGGAGGGGGGGAGGTGCTGCAGGAGGTTGGCCAGCCGGGGGAAGGGGCTGTGGGAGGTTCTGATCAGGGCCATCAAGGCTGGCTGGGGAAAATAAATGGGGTGGATGGATAATGGGAGAGGCTTTGTCAGTGTCCCAACAAGGGGTAATCCCTAGCCCCAAGCCCTTGGTGGGCTGTGACAGCATTCCTTCAGCTTTCTAGCAAGACCAGCCCATAGAGAAGGTGGTACCTGGGGACAGAGCAGCCCCTCAAAGTCTGCTCCTCCTTCTTTGAGGTGTCAGAAGGCTCAGAACCACCTCCAACATACCAAAGACCAAGCCTGAAAGTTCAAGGAATGTCTAGTTTCTGCATCATAATTCCTAGTCTCCTCTCATGGATGAACCCCAAGGACATGACACTAAGCAAAAAAGCCAGTCCCAAATGGACAAACACTGTCTGATTCCCCCAATATGAAGTGTCTAAAGTCCATCAAAATCATAGAAACATAGCCCTTGCCGGTGTTTTTCAGTGGTGAGAGCATCAGCCTGGGAACTGAAGGGTTATGGGTTCGATTCCTGGCCCTGATTGGGGCCATGTGGGAGACAACCAATCATTGATCTCTCCCTCTCTCTCTCTCTCTCTCTCTCTCTCTCTCTCTCTCTCTCTCTCTCTCAACCATCCCTACCTTCCAGTCTCTCTAAAAATCAATGGAAAAGATAACCTCTGATGAGGATTTAATTTATTTTTTAATCATAAAAACAGGAGTTGGAAGGGGGTCATTTAGGGGAGAGGAATTGTGTCTAATTCCAGTGTTGCTAAAAGGACAAGTTCTCAACTAGTGTACTTCGCATGGCTGAACTGTGCACCTAAAAATGGCTAAGATGGTCCATTTAATCAAGTGTTGGGTTTTGTGTGTTTTTTTCTATAGCGAAATAAAACTTGGAAAAGTCTTGGTCTATGTTCAACTTCTTTCTGCTATAAGAATTTTTGGGACACTGTTACCTCTCACCAAAGGGGTTTTGAGCTATTTGAAAGGATGGATGTTCTAGCATTTGAAGTGCTCTACTAGCCCCAGGAAAGACTTCTTGAGAAGCAGCATTAGTCTGAAGGCCAGGATTACTCAGGCTGGGGATTCTAGGGACATCTTCCTGGAAAAGGAAGCGAGGGTTTGTTACAGGACACTGAAAAGGCTGCTTCAGGGTGGACAGAGACTGGAGCTAGTGGTGGAACAATGTCTTCTTTAAAGCTTCTAAAGATGACATCATTTCTGCCCCAACAGCAGGAAGCCAACCACACATCCTGCTGGGCCTTGAGCACCATGACCCTTCCCTAGGGACCCTCTACAGCTCTGCCTGGGTAAGGAGCCCCAGACTCTCTCCTTTGCCCACTAGCCTTCCATTCTGCAGCTGCACACTGGAAGGCGTGTGCCTGCCCCTCCCTGACCCCGCCTGCCTCTGACGTGCACCCTGTGACCTGGCACTAATTCTGAACTTCCCCTGTGTCTGCATTTGTGCTTCTGAGGCTGTGAAACCCATATCTAGAAACCTCTGCCTCCTGGGAAACACTGAAAGACTCAGATCCTGCAGAGCTGATCCCGCCCTGCTTTCCTTCCTCAGGTCCCTCCTCCCACATCCCCCTTTGGACTCTGTTTGCCTGAGAGGGACTAGCAGCTGCTTCCACCCACGGAGCAATGGATCAGGCCCAAGGTGAAGGTTCTGGGACTGTGACAGGCCAGGAGACAGGACCAAGGTACGTGTGTGCACATATGTGCCTACACCTGCCAGGATGGAAACCCAGAGAGGGGACAGGAGCCACCTGGAAGGCATGATCTCAGGGCCTCTGGGATGGTTCCTCCTTATTCAGCACAGACATGCCCAGCCCCAAGGTTGGGGGAAGGGGCAGAGGCTCCCAGGTTCCCAGAGGAGGCCTTGGGATAAGATGCTCCCCCCAAGGCTGGGATGAAGGCCTAGTGGGAGGGGGAGGAAAAAGAAAAGGAATGGGGTCCACTCTTGAGGCTCTCCTGACTTTGGGATTGTGTCTCCAGCAGCCACCACTGTGAGGCTGGCAGTTTGGACCCTGATTTCCCACATTCACTTTTCTAATATTTTCAAACCTTTGCATATTTCGGATTCCAGTGCCTGAACACTGAGGGTGGTCAATGTTTGCAGAAATAAAATTTCTTATGTCACCCACATTTAAGCCACCTGGGCTTTCACCCATGAATGCTTTCACTTCTTCCCCATGACTGACCTGTGGGCTGGACTGAGTCCCCCTGACGAGGAGCTCTGGAAGTTTCCTGACCCCTTTTTAGTGGCTGTGAACCACCTGGTATGGGAGGACTCCCTGGAAGTTTTGTGTGGATGCCTGAAGCCGGGTCCCCCTTGGGCTGTGTCGTGAGACTGGAGTTCTGAAGGAAAGCTTTCTGTCTTTTTCTCTCCATTGCTCTGGTGGGGTCTCCAGAGGGCCTGGGAGATGAACAGAGGGAAAGGTGGGTTGTACAGCAGAGAGTAAGGGAGGATGGAGTTTTGGTTTCCTTTTCTCCTTAAAAGTATTTTCTATATGCCTGGGGAAAATGGCATGGGTTGGGCAACTTACGTATGGAGAGGAGAGAGAGAGAGAGAGAGAGAGAGAGAGAGAGAGAGAGAGAGAGAGAGAGAGAGAGAAAAGAGAAAATCTGACTCAGTCTGGCATCCTGGCCTGGAAAGAGTCCAGCAACATCATTTAGTCCACTATGCTGGGAACCATTGAAGCAGTGGTGCTCACGTGGAGAAGAAATTCCTTTCTCCTCCAGACCTGCTGGAAGTCTCTGCTTATCTACCCACTAGAGTCGGTTTTATAATTAATGTAGGAAAATAGTGCCACTTCCTGGCTTAGGTTACAACATACAGCATACATTTACTTCTCTTTTATTAGTCAAGGTGACAGAACTTCAGCCTCCCTCTGCACTTGTAAAAACTCATTCTCTTCCTTTCCTCACCCCCACTCATGTTCACAAATTTAGCACCATTTATTAAGCATTTACAGGATGGGGCAAAGGTAGGTTTACACTTATGAGTGTGCACAATACACAATTTATTCTTTTTTTAAAAGTTTTATTATTGATTTTCTATCACCAATTTCCCAATAACATAATTACCTTTGAGATATATTTTTTGGTTAATTCTTATCTGAGGATATTTTTCTATTAATTTTGAGAGAAAGATCAAGTGAGAGATACATCAGTTGGTTCCTTCCTGCATGTGTCCTGACAGGGGCTGAATTGAACCCTTGATCTTTCAGTGTGCAGGCCAATGCTCTGCTCTAACCACTGTACTCACTGGACAAGGGCCACACCATTTATTCTTGATGAGTATTTATTAATGTTTGTATTATTTTCCATGTGAACAGCTGTAACCCAACTTTTTTCCACCCCGTACTATATGACAGGACGCATAGAAGGGCCTAGGGACACAGAAGAAGGGTAGGTCTCTGCTCTCATGGAGTTCCCTACTAAGGACAATAGAGAGAAAATTAAAAAACAGACAGTAAATAATATCAGATGTAAACAGTGTTATGATGAAAATAAAGGAGACTAAGGAGTTAGGGTAAGGGTTTCTTTATATAGTTGTGTGTTAGGGCAAGAACATGCTCTTTGAAGAGATTATAACTGATTTAGGCTACAAAGACTCTTGTTCTTCTTGCAGTAACAGCTCTGAGGTTTGGTTTTCAGGCTGAGGAGGCTTTCCCTCTTGAGTCATGTAAGAGGGGTCCAGCAGGATCAAGAGAAGAGCCCAGGCCTCTGTCCATGGCCCTGATGGGTGGCTCCTCACCTCTGCCCCAGTGCTTGGCCTTCCTGGTGGGGCTTCTTGAAGGAGGGTCGACACATAGCTTTTCCTATCACCTCTGATTCCTCCCTTCTACTGGGGCTTCTCCCTTTAGCAGGCCACTTACCTGCTCTCTCTCTCTCTTCCTCTCTCTCACTCTCACACACAGGTTTGTGGTTAATTCATTAAAAAGGAATTCACTAAAACCTTATTTTGGTGATTTTTTGTTTGGGGTCAGGAAGCTTTTACACTCCAAATCTTATATCTTACTAAAATTTGGGAGGGATGAGAGGCTAAGGTATACCTATGGTGTTTGACAGTGGCATGATTTTATCTAATTGATTTTAAAATGAGAGAGGAAGGGAGAGAAAGAAGCATTGGTTAGTTGTTCCACTTATTTATGTATTCATTGGTTGATTCTTTTTTTTTTCTTGTTAATCCTCACCCAAGGACATTTTTCAATTGATTTTAAAGAGAGTGGAATAGAGGAGGGGGAGAGGAGGGGAGGAGGGGAGAAAGAGAGAGAGAGAGAGAAGAAAAACATGCATTGGTTGTCTCCTGCGCATACCCCTACTGAGGCCAGGGGTCAAACCTGCAACCCAGATACTTGCCCTTGATGGGGACTCAAATCTGTAATCTTCTGGTGCTTGGGCTGACACTTTGACCACTGAAAAACACCGGCCAGGGCCATTGGTTGATTCTTGTATGTGTCCTGACTGGGAATCAAACCTGCAACCTTGACTTATTGGGACAGCACACTAACCAACACAGGTAGCCAGCCAAAGCTTGCATGGATTATTTTTAACATGTCCCTGTTCTATTAGATGTAATTATTTTCAGCAATAATAATAAAATGAAATGATTACATTTTATCTTTGCCCTTACTAAACAAAAATAGTCTAAATGGTAATTTGTCCTTCTTTTTACTGTTTAAACTTTCTTCCATCTTTCTTTATATATTATTATTATTTTTCTTTCAATTGCCGTTTATATTCAGTATTTTGTATTAGATTCAGGGATACAGCATAGTGGTTGGACAGCCATATACTTTACAAGACACTGTTCTCTAAAAAGGTATGAACTATCAAGTAACAACACAAAAATAGGCTTTTCACATTCTTCACTTTTCTTAGCTGCATTCCTTTGTTCTTTAAGCCAAAAGCCATCTACTGGGTCATAAGCAAGGATTTATCAAACACCTTTTCTATGTTGTAGATACTGGGTGAACAAAACAGAACAAGTATCTATTCTCTTGGAACTTACCCTTTAGTGGTGGGGAGACAAAAAAGAGCATCATAAGCAAGTAAAGACACAATGTGAAAGGTGGTAGCAGTAGGTGCTTGGCTGAAAAACAGAGCAGGGTGCTGGGAAGTGCTGGTGGGGAGCAGGTTACTCTCAAATATAGGGTGACAGATGAAGGCCTCCTGTGCCACAGGGATGATATGCGAGAGACCTATTGGAAGTGAACCTGCCTTACACAAGTCGGGGAAAGACTGTCACAGCTCAGATGAACAACCAGCACAAAGGCCCAAGGTCATATGTTGGGGAACAGCAGGGAGGCTGATGTGACAAAGCAATGTGGAGAGGGGTGAGGGATGAGGAAGGCAGCCTGCACTCCAATTGGGTGGGGTCCTGGACCACTATAAAACCTTTGCCTACTACCTTGAGTGGGTGGGAAGCCCTTGAGTGACTTTGGACTGGTGAGTGATATTATCTGTCTCTTGTTTCAGACTCTTGGTTGAAGTTGGAAGCAGAGAAACCAGGGATAATGTTATTGCCTAAGTTCAGAAATGACCAGTTCATGATCAGGTCAATCTAGAAAATACAAAAAGCCTTCATGTGGAGGTGAATTTGAAGTGGAGTAGTGAAAAACAGGAAGGAATCTTGCAGGTGGACAGGAGGAGAGGGGTTCAGGGAAGGGCATGCTGGCCATTCTGGGTATCTGGAGCCAAGGTGGCAGAAACAAGGTGGGGTCCCTGACTGTGAAAAGCATGAACAGTTAGAGGCTATGCACTCTTTTCAAGCCCACAACAAGCTTCTACAAATTATTGGGCCAAAATGTAAATCTCAACCAGAGACAAATATTTTATACAGATGTCCTCTGACCAGAAACTAATAGCACTAGAAATAAATAAAAAGATAGTCTCTCAATACAGTTTTAAATTTAATAATTGCTTCTCTTAATTTCCAGACCAAAAAGAAACCATAGTTGAAATTAGTACATATTAAAAACTGTTCAAGAAGAAAAATGAAGAGAATGACAAAATTATGAAGATGCCAGTTCTTTTTGAAGTAAGCTATGAATTCAATCACTGGCATTTAAAATTCCAACAGCATTTCCTAAAGAAAATTACAACTGATTTTAGAAGCCCTCTAGAAGATTGAAAAGCCAAGAATAGCGAGACAATTTTGAACAATAGCAAGGTGTTTGGATCTGCCAGATCAGGTAACTAAGACCAATTTTTTTAAAAAATATATTTTATTGACCTTCCACAGAGAGGAAGGGAGAGAGACAGAGAGCCAGAAACATCGATGAGAGAGAAACACCAATCAGCTGCCTCCTGCACACCCCCCACTGGGGATGTGCCCACAACCAAGGTACATGCCCCTGACCGGAATCGAACCTGGGACCCTCCAGTCTGCAGGCCAATGCTCCAGCCACCGAGCCAAACTGGTTAGGACACTAAGACCAATTTTAAAGTTATACTGATTAAGTCATACTGGTTTTATTAATGACAGAGAGTCCAATGGACACAACAGGGAGCCTGGTATCTGATAGGCAGACTGTGCTGGGAAACTTGGCCCGTTATGTAGATTCTGACTCAGGCATGCTAATTTTTAACTTAAAGTGCTTCTGAAACTTTCATATTCATGGGAACCATCCGAAAGTTGTTAAATTACAGATTCTGATTCAGCAGGTCTGGGGTGGGGCCTGAGATTTTGCATTTCTCATGGGAACCCAGTTGGTGGCAATACTGCTAATCTGTGAATCACACTTGGTGCAGCGAGAGCTTGAATTGGAAGATCTGGCAGCTCATTGATATCATTAGGTATCCTATTATCTTTTACCTTTTATTCTTCCCTCTTTTGGTTTCAATAGTGCATGTTGACTTTTTGTTTTCTTATTTGTTACTTTAGTGTCCCATGTGGCAGCCCCAATTCCAGACATCACATTTAAATTCCATGCAAAAAGAAGAGTGAAATGTTGACAACAGGAGCCCTCCATTGGAGTCTGCCCTTGTCATTAAACAAACAAACAAAAAACAAACAAAAATTTTCAGCCCTGGCCAGGTAGCTCAGTTGGTTAGAGCATCATCGCCATACACCAAGGCCATGAGTTTGATCTCCCATCATGGCACATACAGGAAGCAACCAATCCTATCTAATAAAAGAGTAATATGTAAATTGACCATCATTCCAACACACAAGATGGCCGCCCCCATGTGGTCAAAGATGACCGCTCCCAGTGGACACAAGATGGCCACCACAAGATGGCCAGCAGGATAGGGCAGTTGGGAGGGACCAGGCCTGCAGGGGAGGACAGTTGCGGGGGACCCAAGCCTTTAGGGAAGGGCAGTTAGTGGTGACCACGCTGGCAGGGGAGCAGTTAGATGTTGATCAGTCTGGCAGGGGAGAGGTTAGGGGGTGATCAGGTTGGCAGGCAGAAGCAGATAGGGGCAATCAGGCAGGCTAGTGGTTGGGAGCCAGCAGTCCTGGATTGTGAGAGGGATCCCAGATTGGAGAGGGTGAAGGCTGGGCTAAGGGACAATCCCCCACCCCGCCCCATGCATGAATTTTATGCACCGGCCTCTAGTATATACATAAATAAGTGGAACAATAAATCAATCTCTCTTTCTCTCTCTCTCTCTCTCTCTCTCTCTCTCTCTCTCTCTCTCTTTCTCCCTCATTCTAAAATCAATCTATCAATTAAAATAAAAATAAAAAGAAACACATAGCATTTTCAGAAGGTCTAAGCAAATGCTCCCTCAATTGTTACCAACTAGATTTGGGTCACATGGACACCCCTATTTGGAAGGCTGGCTGGGAGACTGAGTGTATTAGTTTTGTGATGCTTCTGTAACACAGAAGGTTGACACAATCTTACTCACTAAAAGCCCACACACATTTATTATTTTACAGTTCTGGGGGCTGGAAGTTCTAAAATCAAGATGTTGGGCAGGACTGTGATATTTTGGGGGGCCCTATGGGAGAACCTGTTTCTGGCCTCCAGTTTGTAGAGTCCGGCTCCATCATCAGAGCCAGCAGGGTAGCATTTTCAAATTTCTCTCACTCTCTGATCCCTCCTACCTCTCTTATAACATCTTCTTTTCCTCACTCCTATTTTCCAGCCTCCCTCTTATAAGGACCTTTTATAATGTGCTTATACTGGGCCCACATGGATGCTCCAAGATTCTCTCTGCACCTGAAGATCCCAATCACATTGGCAATGTCCCTTTGACCACTAAAGTTAATGTAGTCACAAATTCTGGGATTAGTACATGGACACCTGGGGAGGGGAAATTATTATGTCTGTCACAGAGAGTATCTAGGTCTTTTCCAGCATGTAAGTGGGTAATGTATGTAGAGAAAGGGCTTGTCATTTTAGCCAGTCCACAGTGCTGACATTTTATCAACATGGGCTTATTTCACAAACAAGCACACAGAGAAAATCCTGGCAAACATGATTCCTTGTTCCAGTCTAGTCTGAGTCTAGCACTTTAGTAACCTAAATCCTCCAGGAAAAATCTTGAGTCAAATAGAGAACACACTTCTCTGGCCAGTATTGCTTAGTTGGTTGGGCATTGTCCCTTGCACCCAAAGACTGACATTTCAATCCCTGGTTAGAGCACATGCCCAGGTTGTGGACTGGAACCCTCACAGAGGTCATGCAGGAAACAGTTGATGGATCTTCCCTTCTCACATTGGTATTTCTCTCTCTCTCTCTCTCTCTCTCTCTCTCTCTCTCTCTCTCTCTCTATATATATATATATATATATATATATATATATATATATATATATCTTTCTCCCTTCCTCTCTCTTTCTAAAAATCAATTTAAAAATCTTTAAAATAGAGACAGAATGCACTTTCTCACTGTTCCTCTGTTCACTTTGTGTGTTAGTTGAACCTTGATATGTTGCTCTTTGTCCCAACAGGACCAGTAGGAGCTTGTGTCAAGAGGATGCTGTGGAGCAGGGCTGCTCTCCGGGTCAATTGAGGCTTCTCCTCTTAGGGAAGCATGGTGCAGGAAAAAGTGCCACAGGAAACACTATTCTGGGAAAACATGTGTTCCAGTCCAAATTCAGTGAGAATATGGTGACAAAAATGTGTCAGAGTGAGAGTGGGTCCATGACTGGAGAGAAGGTCATGGTCATTGACACCCCAGACCTTTTCTCCTCAGCAGCTTGTGCCAAAGACAAGCAAAGCAACATTGAACACTGCTTGGAGCTCTCTGCCCCCTGCCTTCATGTCCTGATTCTGGTGATCCCCATTGGCCACTATGATGAGGAGGACAGACAGACAATAAAGGGCATAGAGGAGGTGTTTGGAGAGGAAGCCAGGAGGTACACCATTATCATCTTCACTCAGATGGATGATTTGGGGGATGACTCCATGCAAGATTACCTTCAACATGACACGTTGCTTGGACAGTTGGTTGAACGCTATGGAAATCGATACTGCACTTTCAACAATAAGGCAGTTGCAGCTGAGAAGGACAGCCAGGTGAGAAAGCTCCTCAGCATGATCAAACATTTGGTGAATAAGAACAGAGGGCTCTACCCTGTGAACTTCAGAAATGAAGGCAATGGATTCCAGGTGAGAATTTATTTTAAGGCCTCCAAAGATCTCTATTTTGTTAGATCAAGTGGGATGAAGATGGTCACAGACAAGTGAAAAGTTCATAGGCTCTATTTAAGGGAATATTTATCCATAATCTGGAAAGATGAGGCAGACGAGCAACCAGACGATAGGTTGCTTTGAATATTATCCTTTGGACTTCATTAGTAAGTTGATGGATACATTCACATATTTGTCTGACTTTACCCCTCATAGTTTTCAGCACAAATGACTCATTAGACTCCCTTGGCTTCAATAAAACTATCCTCTTCTTGCCTCCCCACCACCACCCATTTCTGGCCACTCTGGTGGTTGCTGAGTCTTCTAATGAGTTCTAAAAGTTGGCATCTGTAGGGTGTGTTTCTATCCTGTCCTCAACTCTCTGTACTCTCCCTCAGTTGGTACTTCATTTTACAGCTTTGATCTCCATTTATTGCACGAGTCTATATAATGTAACCTGGAGATTGCATCTTTTATTTAAAACTAGAGGCCTGATGCACAAAATTCATGCAAGAGTAGGCCTTCATTCCCCCAGCTGCTGGCACTGGCTTCCCTCTGGCATCCGGGACCTGGGCTTCCCTTGCAGCCCCAGCTTCATCCGGAAGGTCGTCCAGAAGGAGGTTCAGTCTAATTAGCATATTATGCTTTTATTATTATAGATGCTGTAGTGACTTCCTACTGATCTTCAGGTCAAGTTCAGAATCCATGACTTGACCTGGTTCCTCACCTTCTACCTTGCTCTCTATGTACTGATGTCACCAGCTTTCCTTTTTGTCCTTGAGTTATATTCACATCCACTCCAGACCTTCAACCTTGAAATGTTCTTTCCTGACACTTTCCTCTCCCATCCAACCTCCTACCAGGTCTTCTTTAATTTATATGTCACCTTAGCTTACACTCACTACCTCAGAGGGTCCTCCCAGATTATGTCCTGGAATGAACTGCCCCAACCACTCATCCCTATTGGTGCTCCTCACATGGTCACCATTATGTCAAGTGATCCATACTGATGTATTTGTGATGGTTGCCTCTCCACAAAGTCCATGAAGATGGAATTCATCTGTTTTGTATACCACAGTATCTTAGTTTCATCTTCTGTAAAATGGTGATAACGATATACTATATCTCAGGGACTATTGTGAGGACTAAATGAAATGCTTATAAAGTAATTTTCAAATATTTGAAACTGGGTAAATGCTCAGTCATTATAAGCCACTATTATTATGATTATTTTTGTTATTATAAGAGTGTATGAGGTCCAAATAAATTATGGAGACATTAAAGATTTAATAATCTGGAACTGGAGCAAATTCCCAATTTTAGGACTCTAGCACCTAGACATAAAAATGCAAGTATATATAGATGTGTATGGAAAGGAATTTATCTCTGAATATTTTGAAATAGTAAAACCAGAAGTAGCCTGTAGGTCTATCAATAAAGGAATGATTGCATTAGGTTAAATGTTGCATATGGAAAAAATTGCATCTATTTTGTAGATGTGCAGACAGACATGTTATTAAGCTGATTGCAGAACAGAATGACTGATAAGTCATTCTATGTGTATGTGTATGCTTGTACTGTATATACGATTAACAAACAACTTACTTTTTTGGTTTGTAGATGGAAAAATATTAAATTTTAGATCATACACATTTGCATGGTAACAATCCTTTGGATTTTAAAAAACATGAAAAAGTTTGAGCTGGGTTGTGGAAGGTGAAGAAAGTCTGACAAGCAGAGTGGAAAGAGAAATGATTGATGCTATCAATGATTTTGGGGAAGGCCAGGTGAGAAAGCAGGAAACTTTGCTGGCATGGAGATTTAACAAAGACAAGGTTAAAATTAAGTATAGGAAGCTTCTAAGGATAGCAGATTCATCAAGATTGCATATCATTGTTTTCAGCTTTCTTGTTTAATTCCATGTCCATCCTGTACCATCATCTTTAATTGCCAACCTGGATAGGGAAGTTTCCAAACTTTACTGAATTCATGTTAGAAGAAGCTTCATCTCTACACTAGGGGGTGCCAGTGAGGGAAGGGAGCATTGGAGAAATGTGGGAAGCCTGGTTTCCAATCTCCTCACATCCCTTGTTTCTCAACTGCACATCACAGGCATCACTAAGCTAGTTTTTTCTTCCAGGGACCACAGAAGTTATCCTGAAGCCTCTGAATTTTCTCTAGAAATAGTAGAAACTCTGGAAGACTTTGGAAGGAATTACTGTTAGGAACTGTGGAAAAGTGAAGCTAGAGCTTCAGGAACAATTCCTTGTAGATGGCATCCATGAGGCTCCACTGAGTGAAAGACCTATCTTGCATCTTGGAAACCTGTTGAAGTAGCACCAGCAGTAGGGTGTTAAGATTGTCATTATGGACAAGTCTACAACAGTTAGCAAGGGCCACAATGATGACCTTGACTTGACTATATCCTAGTCATCAAATTACTCTGAATTATACAGTATACTTTTGTCTCCATTTATTTACTTTGTGAAAAGATGAGATTTTTAATCTGTGCACATTATTTTCCCCTTTTATTTTCTAGGACTGTGTGAAAAAAGCTCCAACTCAGAATGGGAACAATCCCTATGGTAAGATGATCTTTAAAAGACTGTTAAGCTCATAACTATATTCCTTTGAGTGCATTGTGTATCATAGTGAAGTGGGGAAAAAATATCTGGATAAGTCAGAGCAAAAATGCACCCTGGAAACCTTGCTCAGATCAGTGACTACAACCTGCCGCTAAGGAACTCTTAACACTTTTGAGTAGGTGTAGCATCAGCAAAGTCCTGAACCCGATGTGCGTGCTCTGATCTTCTCTGAAATGGTATGAAGCAGGGCTTGCTTCCCACACTAACTTGGCCTCTCCTTCCTGGCCCTCCCTCCAGCACCACCCAGTTTTTTACTCTTCCTGGGAAAGCAGAAATCCCTCTCTCACAGATAGCATTAACTTGCATAATTCAGTGATAGAGCTCATTATCCATGTAATGATTCACATTAATGATGTATCCTATACTCTGTACATGTCAGTATGTGTAGAGTTTTCTTGTTTTGTGTAGCAGATGCAATTTGGTATGTAGGATGGACATACACAACTAATTCAACCATATCTTATAGATGGACTATCCAGTTATTTCTAGGACAGCTTTATGCAAGAACTGAGTATTCACAACAACAACAAAAAAAACCAGACACACACAAAAAAGAAAGAAAGAAAAGAAAAATTTTAATAATGATAATTGCAGTTGACATGTGCTGGAAAATTACATGTAATATAAGTATATTAGTCATTCAATCATTGCACTTTATAATATATAATCCTCATAACAATCTTTTTTTATTAATTAAATCTTTATTGTTAAGATTATTACATTTGTTCCTCTTTTTTCCCCCCATAACTCCCCTCCACCCAGTTCCCACCCCACCCTCCTCCCTCACTCTACACCCACTGTCCTCATCCATAGGTGCACGATTTTTGTCCAGTCTCTTCCCGCATCCCCTTCACCCCATCCCCCCCCCCAAGAATAGTCAGTCCACTCCCTTTCTATGCCCCTGATTCTATTATAATCACCAGTTCATTCTGTTCATCAGATTATTCACTTGATTTTCAGATTCACTTGTTGATAGATGTGTATTTGTTGTTCATAATTTGTATCTTTACCTTTTTCTTCTTCCTCTTCTTAAAGGATACCTTTCAGCATTTCATATAATACTGGTTTCGTGGTGATGAACTCCTTTAGCTTTTTCTTATCTGTGAAGCTCTTTTTCTGACCTTCAATACTGAATGATAGCTTTGCTGGATAAAGTAATCTTGGTTGTGGGTTCTTGGCATTCATCACTTTGAATATTTCTTGCCACTCCCTTCTGGCCTGCAAAGTTTCTGTTGAGAAGTCAGCTGACAGTCATATGGGTACTCCCTTGTAGGTAACTGACTTTCTTTCTCTTGATGCTTTTAAGATTCTCTCTTTGTCTTTTGTTCTTGGCATTTTAATTATGATGTGTCTTGGTGTGGTCCTCTTTGGATTACTTTTGTTTGGGGTTCTCTGTGCTTCCTGGACTTGTAAGTCTATTTCTTTAACCAGGTAGGGGAAGTTTTCTGTCATTATTTCTTCAAATAGGTTTTCAATATCTTGCTCTCTCTCTTCTTCTGGCACCACTATAATTCAGGTGTTGGTATGCTTGAAGCTGTCCCAGAGAGGCTTCTTACACTATCTTCATATTTTTGGATTCTTTTTTCATTTTGCTTTTCCGGTTGGGTGTGTTTTGCTTCTTCGTATTTCAAATCGTTGACTTGATTCTTGCGATCCTCTAGTCTGCTGTTGGGAGTCTGTATAATATTCTTTATTTCAGTCAGTGTACGCTTAATTTCTAGTTGGTCCTTTATCATAACCTCGAGGGTCTCATTAGATTTCTTGTAGGTCTCATTAAGTTTATCTGCAGTTTCTAGAAAATTCTTGAAAAACCTTAAAAGTGTGGTTTTAAACTCTATATCTAGTAGTTTGCTTTCCTCCATGTCTGTCATTTGTGTCCTTTTTCTTTGTCTCCACATTTTTTATGCTTCCCTGTGTTGATAAAGTGGTTTTCTGTGCTAAGTGTCCTCTAGGGCCCAGTGGTTCAGCCGCCCCAATTACCTGAGGAGGACACTCTTGGTGCACCCCCTTGTGATCTTTGTGTACAGTCTTGTTGTAGTTAAGCCTTGATTGTTGTAGGTATCACTGAGAGGAATTGACCTCCAGGCCAATTGGCTGTGAGAATCAACTGTGTCTGCAGTGGGAGAACTTCTGTGCTGGAGACACCCCTCCGGGGCAAGACTTGCTTCAATGGGGCTTTGGTGCTCACTGAGTCTGCCCCCTGAGTGTGTCCTTTATGGTTCCACGGAGCTGAAAACTGGATGGTCCCACTCTGACCTCTGGGTACACTGGCTCCTGGATCTCTAGGGAGGTGCTAATCTAGCCTCTGCCTGAGGCTATCCAGCAAAAGCCTCATGCAGGGCTTGGGTGGGGCGGGTCCCATGGGATCAACAGGGTGGGGCTAGCAGTTATGGCTGCTCTCAGTCCTGCCCTCAGAGGCTCCGCTCCTCAATGTCCCAGTAATTGCTGCAAGCCCCTCTGAGAGAAAGCTGCCCTCGAGTTCCAACAGATGCCAGACAGTCCCGCTTCTCCCGTATGAGTCTGGGTCCCCAGAGACTCGCCCGGAACTGGAGCTCAGAGACTGAGACTCCCTCCCGATTGAAAACGACACCACACCCTCAGCCACAAGCCTGCGCTGTGTGCGCCTCTGTACCTTAGTGTTTTACTTCCGCACTGCGCTTCCTCTGAGTCTCGGTATGCTTTTCTCTTTCCTTCTAGTTGTAGAATTTCCACTCAGCCAGCATTCCTGTGGTTCTGGATGATGTCTGTTCCATCTTTTAGTTGTATTTTTGAAGTGGTTGTTTGAGGCAGCAAACTCCGGTGTTTACCTATGCCGCCATCTTGGTTTTTCCCCCCATCATAACAATCTTGTAAGGAAGATGTTATTACCCTTATCCTCATTTTACAGATGAATGAACTTAGCCACAGGTATGTAACATCAGTCAGAAGTAGGGATGTAAAATTCTGTCAATGCCCTTGAGCCAAGACCTCCCGGGACATACCTGTTCTGGATAAAACTAGGTTTATTGACTATGGCCATGAGGGAATAGCATAGGGAACTTAGGGGCATCTCATAATGAGGTGTTTGACAGGACTTTTTATAGGATGTGGGCTCATGAGAGGTGATTTTGGGTAAAGTAGTAACTTTCCAAAGGCGGCATAACAAAGACCTAGAGTCACTGCATTTCAGCTGCTTTCTTTAAATGCCAAGTTCACTCCCCTCCCAGGCTTTCCATACAGACTTGGAGTGACAGTCCACGTGGATGGTGTCCTGGATGATGGAGACTCAGTGAATATCCCTGGAGTTGTTGATTCTGCCTTTTGCTCGGCATGTAGGTCTGGTGTTGATCTTGGATCACAGGAGAAGTGGTGGGAACAGGGCATGTATGGAGAGAGAGTTTTGCCGCACAGGTTTTTAAACCAATTTATTGCAGGTATAATTTACATAATGTAAAATGCACAAATTTTAATTATACAACTCAATGACTTTTACACACCTACATATATGCGACCACCATCTAGATAAAGATACAGTGCATTTCCATCTCTTTATAAGTTCTCACTGCCCCTCCCCTAAAAAAACCACTCTCTAGACTTTTACCAGTACTGGTTAATCCTGTCTGTTCTTGAACTTCATATAATGTACTCATATTACATGTGGTTTTGCATCTGGCTTCTTTCACTTAGCATTTTTTGGAGATCCAGCAATGTTGCTATCAGTAGTTAACTCTTTTGTTTTTTAATTGCTGAATAGTATACTATTTTATGAATATATTACTCAGAGCCATTTTAAACTCAAATTATCCCTGGTCCTGCCTTAAGCCATAGACTTCATGCCACACTACTTAGCTTTGGTAGCAAAATGAGAGAACACTAAAGACCAAGACTAGTGAAGCCAAGTTTGACATTTTCATGTTTGCGGACAATCTCAAGCCCTTGACATATCTCTTAATTTCTTCATGGCCCCTCTCATGGCTTTCACTTTGATGAGGAGCTTCTTACCAGGACTAGAGTTCTATTGGGTAGGAGCACTGATGCCATTCTCTATAAAAACTGAAAAGGAAGGGAAACTATCAAACCTGTCCTCATCTCTGTGTACAACTGCAAGAAATGACTTGGAATTTGTCCTTTCATTTCACAGGCCCAGAGGAACAGCAGCTTCAGGCCACAGGATCTGATCAGAACCCTTGTATATCAGAACTAAAGGTCCTGCTTGTGGGGAAACAAGGTGTTGGAAAAAGTACAGCTGGGAACAGCCTTCTGGGGAAGCGAGCCTTTGAGACCAAATTCAGTGACAACTCAGTAACCCAGAAGCCTAAGTCAGAGAGCAGAATCTGGAGAGGAAGGAAAATTTTGATCATTGATAGTCCAGACTTATCCTCAAAGGACTTTAAATCAGACCTCCGGGAACATACCCCTTGTGGCCCACATGCCTTCTTGCTGGTGACTCCACTGGGCTCCTTCACTGAGAAAGATGTGGCAGTGCTGAGAACCATCCAAAAAATTTTTGAAGACAAATACACTAAGTACATGATCGTGCTCCTAACCAGGAAGGAAGATCTAGGGGATAAGAAAGTAGACATGTTTTTAACCAGCAATGAACACCTGAATGAGCTCATCACAAAATGTGAGTATCGATACAGCATCTTCAACTACAGAGTAACAGAAAAAGAGGAGCAATTCCAGGTAGATGAACTCCTGCAAAAAATTGTGGAGATGGTGCAGCAGAATGGAGACAAGCCTTGCAGCTTCAGCAAGGAAGGTAAGCAGTGTTCAGAAAACATTTTATATATGCTTTTAAAAAGTAGATATAGGCTATGCAGGAACTTTTTAATTTTCTGAAGGGCATAGAGAAGATAAAAAGAACAGGTCTACTCTATTGACTAACTCTTCTCTTTCTTCTTTCTCCAATTTTACTAAACTTATGTACCTTTCCTTGAACACTGTGCTGACCTGGTCTTTAATTCTTTCATGAGCCTTACCCCATGTCTACAACTGGTTTTCAAGGGCCTTAAATGAAGGAGTTGACATTTTCCAACCTCTTATTTTCCACACAGTGTATCTGTTGCCCAGGTCTTACCACTTAGCAGTGGTGATGAGATAGCTCTGGACCATTGGTTTACTTTCTCTTTCTTTTTCTTAGCTCAACTCTTTCTCTTTTTCTCTCTCTCCCTTTCTTGACTTCTTTATTCACTCTCTTGCCTCTTTATTTTTCTCTATATTGAAGAGGAGAGGTCATTTTGATAGGACAAGAACTGGGAGCCTGAATGCTTATGATAGGTGGGCACCACATGGCTCTAGATGGGATTTATTAGCCTAGCCACACAACCCTATCTATTACTAAAGCAGAAATCCCCATACACTTAGTGCTGTACATTGACCTGAGTTGAGATCTTTCTAGCCCAGCATGACTCATCCCATTCTCTTTTGGGTCTGGGAAGAACATCATACCCAAAGGAACATATCTGTTTATTGAGCCCTTTCTTGTTCCTGTAGAAGGCAGGTGCTGGGGAGCCTCCTAAAGAAGTACAGACATGTGAGAATGTCCGTAGAGGCTGTGTGAAAAAAGCCCAATTGTGAAAAAAGCCCAATTTGGGCTTTCTCCACATAGAGGAGTTGAGTTTGGATGGCTGAGAAAAATGCTGGAAGACATTCCAGAGAGTACATTAGTAATTAGAAGCAAAGAGGTAGAACTAAGCATACCACATGTGAGGAAACAAAAGGAGTGATCTTGATGGATATGGAGGAGTCACACCTCTAGATAAAGTGGAATGGGGAGCTTACAGAGTTCCATGGGAACCACACACCCCTATGGATATGGAAGTGGGTTTGAAATACATGACAGATATGGGAGTGTTGGGAGACTTTATTCATCCTGTAAGCATGATGATGATATTGTGGCTTTGGAAGAAGCAATTCATTAATTTCCCCTGGAAAGAAGAGCATAGAAGTGGGCTTTTATTCCTCCTTGCTTTGAGGTGGATATTAGTAACTTTGGAAAAAGTTCATGATTGAAGAAAAGTGTGGAACGACCTGAATGGAAGAGAGAGATCACAGTACAAGTGCAAAGTTCTAAAGAACCTCACAGTGATAAACATCACATTATTCCTATAATTCTACCTGTAGGGAAATTCACTCCCCATCATAGACACTACACAGAACAGTGTTAGTGCACACTCATTATTATAAACTTTTGGTATTAATGAAAGACACAATTAAGTTAAAAATAGTTTTAATGAGAAGTGACTTCTAGTGTGCTTCATCTGGTAATCCACAGATGATATGTATACTTGCTTTTTCATGAAAAGTAATTCTATGGAATAATTTTGCAAATACATCCAGGAGACTTTGCTACGGTTAGCATTAGTCTGCAGTGGGAAGACATAGTCACTGCAGGAACAGAAGACAGAGATGAAATGAGTAGACTGGACCCAGGTGAGTAGGTGAAGAGTAATAAAGCACTGCCAGGGCATCAGAGAAGGTACTAGAAAAAGGGGCAAATTCAGAGACAGGAATGGTGGCATGTCTATGGGTGGTACCAGGTGAGACTATGGTCCAAGTCCTGCTTCTGAGTTCACTGAGAGTCAGGAGAGAGCCATTCCCATGCTTGGGGCTGGAGCTGCCCTGATGTTCCCTGAATGTCATTGGCTACAACGTGTGGCTTTAAAAGGCATACTCAGATCAGCCCAGGGTCCTAACTCTTTCCTGCTTTCCTCTGACAGAGACCCTGAACATTGTCCTTGTGGGGAGGAGTGGGACTGGGAAGAGTGCCACTGGGAACACCATCCTCGGGCGGTCAGAGTTCCTCTCTCAACTCCGAGCCCAGCCGGTCACCACCATGTGCCAAGAAAGCAAGAAGACAGGGGCTGCACAGGATGTTGTGGTTGTGGACACACCTGCGCTCTGTCTGCTGTCCAGTGACCCATCATCCCAGCTAGAGATGCTCAGACCCTATGTGTCCGGCAGTGAAGGGAACACGGTTCTGGTCCTGGTGCTCCAGCTGGGACGGTTTACTCATGAGGACAAAGAGGCAGTGGTGACACTAAAGGCTATCTTTGGAAAGGATGTTATAGAACACATGATTGTGCTTTTTACCTGGAAGGAAGACCTGGGGACCGGGGACATTAAAGATTTCTGTGAAAACACAGATAATGCATTTCTTAAGGAGATCATTAAAAACTGTGGGGGGCGAGTTTGTGCTTTTAATAACAAAGAAACTGGCCAACCCAGGGAAGACCAGGTAACAGACCTTTTTAAAATGGCCAATGATCTGATACATAGCCATAATGGGCATGGATATTCCTGTGCATGGGAGAATATTGGCAAAATAAGGAAAGATGCACTGGAAAGGCCACGTTATATAAAATATATAAATATAGCAAAAGATTGGATATTTTAGGTGGAAGAAATGCCTGTGATCTTTTCAAGTAAGAGACATGCTCGAGTTGGGGGGACGGGGGGACTGGTGGGTGGGAAGTGGGTTTATAACTTTGAGGGCTTGAGAAGTCAAGGCCTCTTACCTTGTGATGCTTCAACTTTTTGTAGTTAAATAAATTGTCATGTAGGGGCAGATAGTATTACCCTATAAAGGAGCAAGAAGAAATAATGCAGGGAAAAACGGTCAGAATCAAGTCACAAGAATAACCTTATCTGTGCAGGTAAATTGGAGACAAGACAGACACCTGGGCCATAATACGTATAATTACAAAGATTCAGGGCATCCATGTACATGAAAGTGAGGCAACATCCAGCCAAGTCCTGGGCATGGCAGAGAGGAGAGGCTGGACTCCTGTGGGCAGCACCACTGCCTAATAGGCCCGCTGTCTCCTGATCTGTCATTTCCTAACATGATAGCTGTTCTCTGGTGCCCTCTCCATTTCAAGTCTGAATGCAAAGTGACCCAGGCACCAACTCTTTGTTTTCTCTGAGGAAATAACATGACTCTGTAAGGATTTAAATGACTGTATTGTTAAATCATCACAGTGGAATAGACTAGAACAAAATTCAGAAGCACAGTAAAATTGCCAAGATAAACAACCTGGCAAATTTTTTAAATTCTGAGTATATTTCTAGTTTTCCTCTAGAAATGGTCATTGAAAACTCCCTTACACTTTTCTCTTTCTTTTTATCTCAAGATAAAAATGAGGTTAAAATTCAGAAAGCTCACATAATAGTGGTCTAAACACATTAGGGGCTTATGGTGTCTCATGTTCTGGGGCAGGTCCTATGAGGTGGGTGCACTGCCCATGGTCCAGATTCATTCTCACACAGCCTCTGCAATTCAGGTTGCTTCTCAGTTCCTAGATGGTGATGAAGTTCCACTCATGGTTGAGCAGACAAATTTGAGAGCTTCCTGATGGGGCACTGTATGAGATGAGAACTAAAGAATCTTCTCCCAGTAGATGTAGTGCCAGATATTTTCAATATTAGCCACTCTATAGATGAATCAGATCTATGTCACTTTCCTTTGTTTTTTGTAAGTATCAGCTTACCTACAAGATTGGGCCATTTATAAGAACCTGGGCTGTGACCACTAATACTTTTGTACCCTGAGTAACCCTTACTATGACAAATCTGGAAAACGTGTGTGTAAATATACTCTGCTGAGTGAAATAATAAAGATGAATTATATTATGAATGTACATCCTCCTGGTTCCTGTTTTTCTGACTCAGGGAAGACCATGGTTCCTCCCAGTTGCAGTATATACCTTGACTCCTGCAAGGCTTTTGCTCAGGACTGATCCAGACATGGCTCATTGTGCAGAAAATGAAAATGGGTGACAACTGGCACCTACACAAAGGAACAAGTGGCCAAAATAGTACATAGGTGGATAAAGAAAAGATAATTTTTATCATTTAAAATTTATTGAAAAGATTAACTCTTAAAAGCAAAATAAAACAATATAGAGTTGAGTTTATGTTTTATGTAAATGTTCAGTGTTTAACAACTGTAATGCAAAACATGGGAGGAAACAAGTAATAGTATAATGTTATAGAGATCTTACAGTATTTGTGACATGATATAATATTCACTGAAGGAGGATTATGATAAGTTTAAGGTGAATATTGTAAACTGTGGAGCAACCACTAAGAAAATAAAATGAGGTATAGTTCATAAAGCAATAGTTGAAATAAAGAGAAATTTAAAAATTCACCATAACAAAGAAAAAAAAACAGAAGAAGGGAAAAAAGGCAGATAGGACAGATAGAAAAAAGTAGCAAGATGATGAATTTAAACACACCATATCAATAATCATGTTAGATGTAGATTTTCTTAATGCTCTAATTATAAGACAGTCGGACTGGATAACAAATAGTGAGACCCAACTGTATGCTGTCTAAAGGAAATCCCACATTAAATATAGGGACTCAGACAGGTTCAAGGAGAAAATTTTAAAAATATTCTATATAATAAGAGAGGATAAACAATCCAATCAAAAAATGGGCAAAGGACCTAAATAGACACCTTTCAAAAGAGGACATTCAGAAAGCAAAGAGACATATGAAAACATGCTCAAAGTCACTAATCATCCGAGAGATGCAAATAAAAACAACAGTGAGGTACCATCTCACACCTGTCAGACTGGCTATCATCAACAAATCAACAAACGACAAGTGCTGGAGAGGATGTGGAGAAAAAGGAACACTTGTGCACTGCTGGTGGGAATGCAGACTGGTGCAGCCACTATGGAAGACAGTATGGAGTTTCCTCAAAAAACTGAAAATGGAACTCCCATTTGACCCAGTGATCCCACTTCTAGGAATATATCCCAAGAAAACAGAAACACCAATCAGAAAGGATATGTGCACCTCTATGTTCATAGCAGCACAATTCACCATAGCTAAGATCTGGAAACAGCCTAAGTGCCCATCAGTAGATGAATGGATTAGAAAACTGTGGTACATCTACACGATGGAATACTATGCTGCTCTAAAAAGGAAGGAACTCTTACCATTTGCAACGGCATGGATGGAACTGGAGAGCATTATGCTAAGTGAAATAAGCCAGTCAATGAACGAAAAATACCACATGATCTCACTCATTCATGGATAATAGAGACCATTATAAACTTTTGAACAATAATAGATACAGAGGCAGAGCTGCCTCAAACAGATTGTCAAACTGCAGCAGGAAGGCCGGGGAGGGTTGGGGGGCAGGAGGTAGGGGGGTAAGAGATCAACCAAAGGACTTGTATGCATGCATATAAGCATAACCAATGGACATAAGACACTGGGGGATAGGGGAGGCTAGGGGACTGTCTAGGGCGGGGGGGGGGAATGGACACATATGTAATACCCTTTGTAATACTTTAAGCAATAAAATAAAAAAAAATAAATAAATAAATAAAAGAGAGGAATATGCAGATTAGGCTTGGACTCTGTAATGTCACAACCACTTGGCGGAGGGTGGTGGATCAGGGGAGAGGAAAGCGGGCCAAGGGGGCTGGATATGAGCCTTTGGTGCCTCCTCTGGAGTTGGGGAGCTAATGACCAATGGGCTCCAGTCCTCCTCCAACAGCCCTTTCCAGCAGGCATGGGGTTGCTGAGACTCAGGCCGGGCCTCTGGCCACAGATCCACAGCTTCATGGAGACTGACTCTACAAGGCTGCCCGGAGGCCATGTGGCTGGACCTCAGGGTGCCCATTCAAGATGTGGCACAGAGAGGAGGTGCGGGAGGAAATCCAGAGAATGGGATGTGGGGGTTCAAGACTCACTTCCTTTGGGCTTTGTCCTTCTTGGACTTGGTCCTTTTCTTTCGGGCCTGGAGCGCAAGCACTGCAGGAGAGAGGGATGGATGAAGGCTGAATATGGAAGAGAGGAGGTGACCCAGGTGAGGGTGGAGACCTAGCAGCGGCACGAGGCCCACTGCGGGCCACCTGAGGGGCAGCTCCAGGATGAGTGCCTCAGCTTCAGCAAAGCTGCTGGCCAGGAGGCAGGCGGCCCAAGGGGCGCAGAGCAGCACGGCACTGTCCCTCTATGAGGACACCCCACACAGGTGCTGCCTTCACCAGCAGGTTCTGGGTGACATCTGAAAATGTGACTGCAACTTCTAACATTCTGGGCAAAGAACTTAACCTATGCCCCTCTGGGTACCAGGCTTGCTAGGAGTGTGCTGTCACCAATGCCACAGATCAAAGGCAAAAACCTGGCAAGGCGAGGTGCAGCCTTAGTGGAGTGTGCCTGCCCCCAGGGGCCCCTGCGTGTGCCTTCCTACATTCCCACTAGCTCTCAATCACTGTACCTTGAGAATTCTTCCTCCCCAACCAAAAAGCAATAATCAAAAGTGAACACTTTGCTATTTATTTTTGTTGTTGTTCATTTATTTTCACTAGTGACCATTGCCTTTTTTAGAAAAGTGATAATGGTAGAGTTTTCCTGTTTATTCCTTACAAAAGGATATTGAAAAGTGGACAAGACCAAAATCTGGATTCGCTATCAGTGCCTCTTCTGGGACCTGTGCACAACCCTTGAACCACAATGACCTTGGCAGCAGAGGAAATGTACAGTCTCAGCATTTGGCACTGGCATTCCCTGTGTGTTCTCAATGTTTTCTAGGCAAGGCTTGTGGGCCTTTCACTCTAATATGTGCTCAGCTGTTGCAGATTATTTCCCCCTTTTATATGCTTTTTTAGTGATCTGAGGGCATGAGAGAGTTGGGAATCTCTGTCGGTAAAGACAGCAGACAGAGGATACTGTAGGGAAGAGATCTGGAATTACCTATCAGAATTGGAGATGGGCTTGAGTTTATGTATGAGGGTAGAGATACTGGGGCATAGCAAGTGTGGGTGGACAGGTGAGCCATGCTAACCTGGCTCATTTTATCTGGACCATATAGCTGACTCCCCAACATCTACATGGGACAAAGGGAATAACTCTTTACCCCACCTTGTATCACAAATTCTCAGGCCACAAAAACCTGTTTTCCCTTTATTTTGAGATTGGAATAAAAATTTCCAAATACTTATTTTTATTTATTTATTTATTTATTTATTTATTTATTTATTTATTTATTTATTTTTATTTGCTACTGAGTTGAAAAGCCTATCCTCACACTATGAGTGTGTTAGACAGTGAGAAAGCTCCTCTTTGGAAGTAGATTTTCTGTAGGCCTCAGTGGCTCCTTGGGACTCAAGTCTCTATATAAGTTTTCCTTGGACTTATACCAGAGTCTGCAATCAAGCTGCTGAAGGATCTGAATGGGGAACACAGGGGAAAACGTCCTTTGCTAGTGAAATGACAAAGCAGAAATGAACTCTCCTCCACTTTATCTTGTAGGGCTGGGCCCCCAGCCTAAACCCCCGCCCCTTTCTGAGAGTGACCACAGGAATGCCAGTAATATCCTAACTCCCCCAGCCACCACCTGAGTGGACCAATGAAGCTCCAGGAATGCAGCGAAGA